AACATATCTATAACCTCACAGATAACATGTGCATCCATATTCTCTAGTTCAATTAATGGGAGAAAATGGTAATGTGTGTGGTTTGGTGGCAGACGTTCTTTGAGGTTGGGTTTGAGTTTTTTGGTAATGAGGGAGGGAGATTTGGTTTTAGTGTAAGAGGAATTTGCCAAGAATTTTCATATGGATTTTGATGGTAATGTCACCCTGATTCTAGAAATCAGTAGATATACAAATATAAGCAATACAAATAATAGATTAAGCAAGGAAAAGTAAATTTATTTCATTTCATAAATAATGTTTAGTTATTGATACAATCAAAATGATAACACAATATTAACTGGAAGTAAACCGAAATGGCAAATATATAACCAAACTCTCCAAACGTGATTAAGATACAAAGAAAACTAGTACATAAATTTAAAAATATTGAAACATATGCTATTGCTAGAAAATCTGCTCATATGGCGAAGGTTTACAAAGCACCTTAGTAAAACCTACTATTAGAAAAATACAACATGTGAGTTTGATAATATCAATTAAAGTACAAACAACAAGATAGTGCAACATGAATAATAAAAGAAGCAGAAGTAACGATGTTATAACATTGTACTTGATGTCATGCAATTGCCAAGTTAAAAGTAATATTACATGAATAAGAGAATGTTTGTTTCAAGAAGTCTCAAGTACAGTTGTGTTTGTGATCATATATATGATAAGCTATAAACATGCATCATTTATATGCTGCCACGTTAAGTATTCTCATACATGTTTGTACATAACTCATCAATCATTTATGTCTGATAATATTTGTATATAAATGTGCGTTTATAATACTGGTTCTTTACCACGACACATTGAAGAAAGATAGGTAGTCATCAATTTCATTAAAATCTCATGATTTTTTTGAAGATCTGTTAGTCTAACTAGCCATCATCAAAAGGGCTTTATATATTATTATAACAAACATGTCATTTCACATAGTAGAGTGAGGTGTGGGATCATAAATGAGATTGGTCGAGGTCTGGACTGGTTCATGATTCTGACTTTTGGCGGTTCGGTTCAAGCTGAACTTGTTCTGGTTATAACATGAAAAGGTATAACATGTCGGTCTGTTCATGCGCTCTAGATGATGGAATATGCTTTTACCTAGAAATTAGAGCATAGTATATTTCTATCTATCTGATCGAATTTGATGTGGTTGGGCAGTCATTGGAATTGTTTCGATGAAATTGGAAAACTAAGAAGTCTCTTACGGTGGCACTTGTGATTGAAGGTTTAGCTTTTAGACGGCGTTTGATTGAGATTGAAGGTTTAAAAATAATGGTGATAATTATTCGGTGTTCTTAGAAGAACTGTAATGTTTCATAGTTTTGTACAAACAAAGGGCGTTTTATCTTTGTAAAATTAGAGCATAGACTTAGAAGAACTGTAATGCTCCATAGTTTTGTCCTCCATCTGTTTACCTTTGTTTGTTTAAACGAAGAATTCTAAATGTACTGAAATTCAAATATACTGCATTTTAAATACTTTCGAATTTGAAATACTTGCAACCAAACATCTTAGTTAAGCTATTATTCTAAAGGGCTTTCTAGAGAAAGATTTTGAGGACCTTTTTAATCGTACAGATTGTTTTGTCCTTGTTTAATTCAATTTCTCATCCGCAGCATTATTTTTGCTATCGCATGCCTGTCTGTATAATATTTCAACTGGAGTTGTAGAGTACTTTTGTTTGATTGGTATATAATTTGCTTATGTAAATTGTTGGGTTAGCGGAAAAGTTTATTGTTGATTAATACTGTTTATGTATCAGAGTGACATGATCAACATATTTTGATAATGGGGCATTCACATACATACCATCTAATTCCTATGTATTTACATATGTAACATCCAAAATTAAAACACTCAGAAATTTAATTTGTATACATTTATATCACCCAAATCCTTCATATCACATAAGAAATACCACTATTATAACTTCTAAAATGTGAAATAAACCTTTTTTCTGGCATAGGTAAGGTGGCCTGTATGTAAAGATTGAAGTTTAGGGGTTAGATATGTAAATAATTGATCGGTATATTTGTAAATCTTCCTTTATTTGAGATATAATACTAATGAGGATTATTTTAAGGGGTTGTGTTTGTCTGTTGTGGTGGTTTAGCTATACAATTCTCCACTAAGTGGATGTATGATTGTTCTTTGATCTTCTTCATTGCATTGTTTTGATGGCCAGCTTCAATAATTCTAGGATTTTTGGAATCTTTTCCTATGGTTAAATTTTGTTACCGACAGATTGGAGTTAAAAAACGCCTTAAGAAAATTAAGGTGGAAATTTGAGCGCACGCATCATATTTCTTCTACTTGGCATGTAATATAAGCTTACTTGGTATTTGTTATGCTTCCAGTTAGGGATGTAAACAAGTTGAGCTCAGCTTGAGTCATGCCTAACTCGAGCTTGGCTCGTCTCTCAAAATGCAAGCTTGAACTTGAATCAATCTCCAAGGACAAGCTTGAGCTTGGCTTTCAATGGTGATAACCTGGAGCTGAAATTCAAATTATGATTAGAGCTCATCGTAGAAGGCATCAATGCCTAGGGAAGAAGAAAAAGTATCATGAAAACTTGCTGGAGAAGGCATGGATGTGACTATCAATTGGCTAGTCGCCCCGCTTAGCAAGCAGACTAGCCAAACTAGACAAACTTGAACCCATAGCAGCAAGGTACTTGTTGTACCCGCAGCCTCCCTCCACCGCAGCACTCCCATTTGCAGCCCACAACATCTGGTCGCCTCACTCACAACAGGTCGCTGCCCGGTCAGGCCTTCTCCAACTACTGCTTCCTCCCTTCTGGCAGCTCCCCGTTTTCCTTTGCCTCCGCTCCTCTGCTTCGGCCACCATCTGTGCCTTTGCTCCTCAGCTTTGGTCGCCATTTGTGCCTTCGTTGCTCAGCTTCGGTCGCCATCTGTGCCACTGTTCCTCTGCTTCAGGCGCCTCTCCTGCCACCAGAATTCCAGTCTTCGACGATGTTCCCGCTTCCTCCGAATGCGGTTTGATGCCTCGATGAGCGATGACTTACTCTCACCTGACATCACTCCGGCCTTCAAAGCATACACCTCCCTGGAACCATGTGTGGGCGCATGTGCGCGCATTTTATTCATTTATTTTTGTTGCTGTTGTTGATTTTGCTGGGGCATTAACAACATTCCACACATTTGTTTTGGTATTCATATATCTAATATCCAAATTTTTATATTCACTTGTTGATTTTGGTGGGGTCATTAACAATATTCCACACATTATTTTTGGTATTTATATATATAATACCCAAATTTTCATATTCACTTGTAGTTCTCAAATCTTTTATATCAAATAAAAAAACTACTATTATTTAAAAAAAAATGTATATTCACGCATGATACCAAAGGTTATAGATATAAATATGAAACGTTGTATTAGATATGTAAAAGATTTGTGTGATAATTATGTAATTTTTTTAAAATTAAGTGCTGAAATTTAAATGCGTTTTAATGAGATTTTTCTCTCTTCAAAGTTACGGCACAACTTTGGTTTTTCCATGTCCAAACTTTTTTAATATAAATTATAATTTTTTTTAATATTTTTAATAGTTTTAATATAAAGACTGAAATTTCAGTATATTTTGATTTCATTTTATATCCATTTGTTTGAAACAGGTGGGCTCATGAGTTAAGGAGTTGAGTTGGGGGGTTGGTTTGAACTTAGCTTGGTAGCTTATCGAGCTCAATGAGCCACTTATAATGTTGAGCTTGAGTCAACTCACGAGTCGGTTTAGCTCCTCAGTTAAACCCTTAATTGTGTTGGATTTGTTCCAATAAAAATGACTGCTCATATGTGCGGTTTTGTTATGGTAGTAGATTCACTAACATCTACATCTAGATGAGCATAAACAACTCGACCACATCAATAAGCTAAATTTTTTTTATTATTTATAATCAATTTGTTTATAATATGTGTATGTTTTAAGTCCTTGATTATCGTATACATTAATGATTTTTTTATAAGAAAATACCACCATGTCAAAAAGCTATATCCAGTGGTATTTTCTCATCTAAAAATTTTCATATAAGGAATAGTCACTTAATGTGTTGCAGAATTATGTGTGGTTCCTTGATCAACCAATTTGATAAATTATTCGTACGACCTTTTTTTTTTCTTTTAAGAGAATGGCTGGCACCCAGTCACTCTCATGTGTCTAATTATTTGAGGACCGCCCTCACTACCGACAAACTAGCTAGAGGAGGATTCGAATCCGTGACTTGAAGGGACTAGCAACCTTCAAAGAGGTTGCTCTACCAACAGATCACAGCCGTTGGCATCACATAATGATTTATTTCTTTATCATAAGATAATAGTAGATGTCACTTAATCAAAATAAAGTTTTGAACTATTGAGTTTTTATGCTTTTTTATTTTTACACCTTCTGTTAATGTCCAAAGAAAATTTAATAAAAATTTAATTTGAATATGCAGCCCTTTACATGTTAATAAGCTTTTTCGGCTAATACAATAGTCAGACAACCATATGATTAGGACTACTAACAATCCAATTTCGAGCTGAGTTTGGGTGAGCTTGAAATCAACTCAAATGGATTGAGTGCGGCTTGAATCGGTTTGTGGCTCGTTAAATTCAATTTCAAGCTGGCTTGAAATTGCATCGACTCTGATCCCACTGGAAATCGAAATAAGCTAGCTCAAATTGAGTTATTTAGATCCATTCCAGCTCGAACTCGGCTTGAAGCTTGCCCAATTCGGCTCCAAATCAAAAACATCTAGCTCAAATTGAGTTATTTGGATCCGTCTTATCTCATAACCGGCTCGTGGTACATTATATTCGATTTCATTTAACATTATATATAACTTCTTATAGATGGAAAAAAAAAAAACGTCACGTCGCAAACCAACTCAGACTTGGAAAAAAAAACTTGATAGCATCAAATTAATTTTCAAGCGATTGACATTCTCCTACAACATATTTCGTGATGCCTCATTTTAATTTATCTTCATTTACTCAAATTTCTAATCTTAAAATAATTTTGCTCCATCTCTAAACCCTCCCTTTCACTTAAAAAACAAAAAGAGCAAGCCCATAAAAATAACGCCACAATCGTCACTTGTCGCTACGCGGACCCGGGCCGAAGAAATCAGTGATGGGCAGCCCATGATCCAACGGTTCACGAGTATTAACGCACATATAAAATATTAATATATCAATAGATCTAGAAGCTACAGAGCGCTCGCTCTGCAGTCGAGCTCAAAGCCTGTGTTAGCAGGGAGGAATGGGGTGGGTTCTCTCCCTCACAAGGCTTTGGGGGTTCATCGTCGCCGGCCTCCTGCTCGCCTGGCCGTTCAACTACAAATCCAGCTTCCTACCGCCCTCCGCCACCGTCGTCGACGGCGGCGGCGGGGACCATTTCCCAACTCGACCACATATATTCAGTAATAATCTCAATTCTTATCTCCCCTGCCCTAATGCCCCTTAAATTGCTACCATAATTGTCTGATTTTCTTCGCCTTTTTGGTTCCTATTTTATTGGCTTCAGTTTCTTCTGCAGGCGCTTCATCCGCTTCTGATGGTGATCGGCTTCATCCTTCTCAACGGAGAAGGTAACCTATACAGATCGCCTCCTGCTTCTCTCTGCTTTGAAATTTACGGATATCATTATGTTACCCTAATGGAGTATCGGTTGATTTCTCTTTTTGTCAGATAAACTTATTTTGAATCTACAGTTTATAATTAGGGTAAGATTTCCGCTTGCTAGACTGTTGTTAGCTCCAGTTCTAATTAGGGCAGGGTCGGAAGTAGAGTTTTCTTAGTGCGCTAATCTGCCATGATCCGTCATTGTTTATTTTTCTGTTTTAGGGATTTTTGCAGCTTTCTTATTTGCATGCATGCCCCATAATATTTATTTATTTACATATCTCACACCCGAATTTTCATCTTACAGTTTGGTGCATTAAAAAAAAAA